AATTCATGATTAACTTTGTCGAATGCTTTGCTGAAGTCGATGTAGATTACGTCGACGGACTTTCCCCGGTTCAGTGCTTGCAACCATTCCTGTCTCGTCACAAGTAAGTTGGTAACACAAGAATATCCCATCCTGAATCCGTGTTGTTCCGGTGTCAGAAGTTCGTTCGACTGCAACAGATGTATTAGACGCTTTTTTACTATCTTCTCGATCACTTTGGCCAAAACGGGTGTAAGACAAATTGGCCTGTAGTTATCCACCTTACTGGGGTCGCCACCTTTCGGGATCGGCCTCACCACCGAGCGCTTCCAGTCGTTTGGCAATGAGCCCTCAGACAATGATTTGTTGAATAGATCCGTAACAGCAGGCGAGATAATGGCAGCTAGTGATTTGATAATTAGCGGATGAAGCCCGTCAGGCCCTGAAGGCTTGGTACCGTCAAGGTTCGCAAGTAGCAGGCGCACCTCATCGACATCACAAACCAAACTGTTGAGTTCTACGGGAATGTTACTCGCTGAGATGGGTATGGACGCCGCGTCGTTTGCAAACACGGAAGCGAAGTGAGCGGCCAGTGCGGACGCGCGATCGGAACTGGAAGTTAGCAGGTGTCCGTCCGCGTCTTCCAGACATGACACGTCACCTTTTGGCTTCAAACGGCGTTTCACGTAAGCAAAGATCTTCTTTGGGGCCATCCTCGCGTCAGTTGCAAGCTTTTCTTCGAACTTCCGGCGCTTTATCAATTTCACTTTGTTGCAAATATTTCGCTGTCTTTATATGCTTCGTAATCAGTGGCGGAGCCAGAGAGGCGAAATGCGTCCCACATTCTTCGCCGTAACCGAGCCAGCCTACCATATTCCTTATCGAACCAGTGTGGTTTGATTGGTCCGACTTTCTGAAATTTCAACGGCACAAACTGAGAACAAAGCGAAGCCAATCCTTCCTTTATTACTGTTCAACCGTCCTCCACAGATGTAACATGCGGTAGAGACCAATCCATTTGGCTCGCTGCTCGATTTAATCCATCGAAATCAGTTTTCCAGTAGTTGTAAGCTGGTTCCACCGGAGATACACTCGGCAAGTTCAGTTCCATAGTGGCTATCAGCACGGAATGGTCGTGAAGAACAAGCTGGTTTCCGTCCTGGCCGCGGATGCGCTCCGCCAGCTCCTCGAACATCGCCACATTTATCACAGGCCCACTATCGTTGCATTCCTAGACACAGGTGCCGCTTTTGACTCCGTTGATCGATCTGCTTTATGGCGTTGCTTACTAAAGAACGGGGTGCCAGAGAACTATACCGCCATCTTACGAGCACTTTACCTTCATACATCCGGCAGAGTGAGGGTCTATGGCAAGCTTTCCTCGCAATTCGCTGTCAATAGCGGTGTGCGACAGGGCTGCCTTATGTCTCCATTCCTCTTCAACTTCGCAATCGAAGACGTTCTGTCGAATGCTCTAGAAGGTTTCCAACATTTTGGCCTAGAGCTTCTACCGGGTGAGCGCGCAACCGACTTAGATTATGCTGATGATATCGCCTTACTTGGTGACGATCCTCAGAGTATGCAAGTCATTCTGGATCGTTTGGCGGTTGAAGCATCTAAGTATGGCATGAGCTTCGCCCCATCGAAGTGTAAAATACTGCTCAAAGATTGGCATTCGCCTGCTCCCGTACTCACTCTCGATGGTGCACAACTTGAACAGGTAGATAGTTTCGTCTACCTTGGGAGCTGTATTTCTGATGATGGCACTATCAACAAAGAAGTTTCTCTTCGTATTGCTAAAGCTCGATCGGCATATGTCAATTTGAGGCACTTGTGGCGTCGCCGCGACGTCTCATTCTCACTAAAGGGCCGAGTTTACAGTGCATCAGTTCGCTCAATATTGTTGTATGGGTGCGAGTCCTGGCCGCTTCGCGTGGAAGACATGCGTCGTCTTTCTGCGTTCGATAACGGTTGCTTAAGGAGGATCGCGCGTGTTTGGTGGCAACATCGAGTTAATAGTAATGACGTTCGACGTCGCATATTGGAGAATGCGAGTATTCCCTTCAACAAACTGGTTTTGTTGCGCCAGTTGAGATGGCTCGGTCACGTTCTACGCATGGCACCTGAGCGTCTACCGCGTCGCGCTCTATTCGCTCGTCAAGGACCTGGCTGGAGGAGACCGAGTGGTGGTCAGCCTTCTACATGGCGGCAGCACATGAAATCGCTGACGTCGTGTCTAGCCGCTGTAGGATCCGTACGTCTTCCAGGATGGGGACCCAAAGATGAGGAGTGCCAATGGCTTAGCACTCTTGAAGATATGGCCCGCAACCGGAATCAGTGGAAGAATTGTGTACAGTATTGTATTGATTAACATGTTTAATTCTAAAAACATTAAAATGACAAAAAAGAACAAAAGCGGCGTGTGAAAAACAAACCAAAAATGTTTTGTTCTGCTTTTTATCAAAATGTTCCATTCTTCCTGCGGCATATTAGTTGAAGTGTGTTGCTCACCTTCAACTAGCATGCCACGATGATTATGACGCCATGAATCTTGCTTATCTCCTTACCTCCATGGTTTTAGGCTGGCTCTTTGTCTAGCCAATAGACTGTTGAGAATACATGGTTGGCGGCATCCGGTTTCGGATTTGCTTATCAATGTGGCAAGCCACTGGAAGCCTGCGCATACAGAGGGACCATGGATGGCTTGCGCTGCACCACCCACAGCTCCAATCACATACCCCATATCCAGTGTAAACCCGAAGGAATAAGACCGGGAGGCATGCGGATGGGAACCACGTTTCATCAACGGAGCCGGCCCACACTCCTTCACAGGCAAACACAAGCACACTGTATTTGGGGAATCAAGCGCACACAAGGCGGTGGCTGGACCGTAGTCCGCTCCACACTCAGTGCATGGAACCACTCTTCGACCCTAACACGGCCACAAGGACCGTGCACCCCGTCCCCTCCAGCAACGACCAACTGTCTCCTGGAGCTAGTATGGACGAGGTTGTGGGTATTAGACAGGTAGGCACCTTGTCAACATGCACATCAAGCGCATCGACCCCGGGGATATCAAACAACAGCCAAACACTTGAAAGAGAGAAAGAAAAAGAGAAAAACTCGATTAATGCATAAGGAAACGGTGATATAAACCTTAAGTAAATAGCATATGTAATAGGTTGTTTACAAACAGATCCTAGCTAAGTGCACGAGGTAAGGAAGTATAATTCATGGAATGCCACGAACACAAAAATGTTATGGAAACCGAATACAATTGGCTGAAGCGATGTGTGCTAGTTAATGGAATAGAGTACAGGGAGATATTTATATGAGAAAGAAAAGCATTAAGGTAAAAACTGTAAACCCACCATCTGAAATAAAGAGACTTAGCATGCAAGCACGCGGTTAGTAAATCGAATTCAGCGTGCCTACAAACGCTACGCCGGCTCGTCGTAATTCTCTGCAGGAGCCGTCGTCGCTTCTGTAGTGTCCCCAAATGGCACAGCTCATGGCCCACTAGACATTTATATGAGAAAGAATGAGAATACATACATACATACATACCCACTCGTAAAACCATCTCTAGCTCTATTTTGTCCCTGACGAGGCAGGGCGGACAAGCCTGGACGCAGTATTCCAGATGAGGCCGAACGAAAGTCGAGAACAGTCTCGTAAAGATGCCGTCCGTCAAGACTCCGAAAGAACGTCGTATTAACGACAATACGCGGAAGCCTCTGCTTGCGGCCTTCTCCCAGTTGTTGACGGAGTGTAAAGCCGAAGAGTGTACGACACCTAGGTCAACCTGGCAAGATACACGGGGGAGTTCGACCCCACCGACTAAGTACTTCGCAGAAGGACAACCTCCAGTTCGAAGAACGGAGCACTGCCTGATTTATGGGCAGTGACCATAAAGTAGACCAGTCCCAAAGCGTATTCGACGCTCGCTGAATAGCTTCGGAACCCCCAGGAACATCGACAATGTGCCACAGCTTCAGGTCATCAGCAAATAGCAGCGATGGGACCTCAAGCTCCGCGGGTAGGTTATTCACATAGATAGAGAACAGCAGCGGTAGAAGGACCGAGCCCTACGGCACGCCACTGATGACAGACTGCCTAAACGATAGGCCTGGCCTACCCGTACACACTGTTCTCTACCCTCCAAAAAGGCAGTCACCCAATGAAGGACGCGGTCAGATACCCTGTAGGAGGTCAGCTTTTGCGCGAGCATCAAATGGGGTACCTTGTCAAATGCCTTTGAAAAGTCGGCGAAAAGTACGTCCAATACGTGACCGTTATCCACTGCATCCGCCCAACTTTCGCGAGTCACCAGTAGATTCGTCAGACACGAAAATCAATTCCGGAATCCGTGTTGTACATTGCTAAGTAGATTAAATCTACTCAGATGACTCCCCAATGAATCTCTCACCAGTTTCTCAAGGAGTATGACTACTACACTCGTCAGCCCAACTGGCCTGTAATTTGCAGGCAGACTCCTGTCCCCATTTTTGAAGATGGGACAGATGACAGCTTCCTTCCATTCGGAAGGCAATGCACAGCTTTTAAGCGCTTTCTGAAACACCATAGCGAGAGGTCCACTTAGTTCCGCAGCCAACTCATGTAACAGTTTCGGGGGAATTAAATAAGGCCCAGAGGCCTTAGCAGGGTTCAGCCCTTGTAACAGCCTACGAAATTCCATCTCCGCTACAATAAATTCAGATAGTCCTGTACCCTCTGGGATCTTGCAAATCAGCTCAACGCCTGTCAAAGAGGTTTCCCTTACAAACGCTGCCGCATATTGCCCACTAAGTACGCAGGCCTTGTCAGGCCGTATGCGCATGAGTACCGTCACCGCACTTGAAAATCGGGCAGAAAACAGCCTTCTTCCATTCGGTAGGTAAGACACAGCTGTTGAGTGACTTCTGAAACACAAAAGTCAAAGGTCCACTGAGATCCACTGCCCATTCGTGCAACAATTTTGGATGAACAGAATCTGGCCCGGAAGCCTTAGTTGGATTTACCTCTCTTAGCAACCGGAGAACTTTGGAATCAGTTACAGGAATTTCATCCAGACAACAGTCCTCAGAGACTCTTGAAGCTAATTCTTTGCATGGCGTATTTGTTTCGCGGACAAAGATGCTTGAGTACTGCTCACCAAGCACGCATGCCTTGTCTTAGTCGCTATAGGCATAAGTCCCATCTCCTCGAAGCAATGGTGGTATGGGCGTTTGCACCACAGCGTCAACGTAAGTGAAGAATTTCTTGCTTTCTTGAGGCAGTAACAACTAAGCCCTTTTCATACTGAAGCCGGGCAGCGTCTTTGTTAACACGTTTTTCGTGGTCAAGGTCGTTAGAATTTTGATTTTTCTTGGCTGGGCTAGAATTTTGTGGAGAAATTTTTGGGTGTTTAATTCGGAATAACGGGAGAAAGTGATGATCTAACAATGGCGACGGACAGGCACGAAAGTGTTACATTTTTTCTGCCCAACATTTCCAAAAGCTGCTTCTTCAGCAACAGTCCCAGATGGATGCACAAATGAAACTGATTAAAAGTTTAACGCAGTGCTTGAACGTACAATCAAACGGAGCAGCTACACCGGACACGCAGACTGTTTCACTTGCTCTTCTTACCAATTCAAGCACTGAATTTCTTTTCCTGCTGATTCCGAATGCACTTTCGAGGCTTGGTTCAAACGCTGAGAGGATATGTTCCGGACGGATTTCCGCCGTCAAGAGGATTCATGGTAAGTGTGTCTAAAATTCGGTAAGCGTGATACAGACGATTATGGGGCACTAGCAGACATGGTTATCCATGAATGTGAACGTTTCATGTTACTCTGTTTGACGGATGACCAGTTTAAGTGTCTCATATTCGTCAGTGCTTTACAGTCTCCACGCGACGCGAAACTCCGCACTCGGCTCCTTGCTGAGTTGGATCAAGATCCAGATTTGACATTAAAGTCTCTTGTAGGCGAATGCAAACGATTGATTACTTTGTAACACAACACCGCTATGATTGAGCAGAATCGCTCCAACGTTGCCGATGCTGTTCACGCTGTGCAAAGCAAGAAACGTTGGCACGAACAATCCGTTCAACAGAACGCTTAACAAGCTGCCCACATGTTGCTGGTTATGTGGTGAATGGTATTTCTCCCAGTACTGTCAATTCAAGCGGTACGTTTGTGACAAGTGCCATAAACACGGCCACAAGGAAGGCGTTTGTCATATTCCCGGCCAAGAAACCGGCAGCAGTCCTAACGAAGGAAGAACTTCAGGAGCCTGACGCCGGTTCACTATCGGTGATTGCCAAGTTTCACAGCAATTCTAGAACATGCCGCCGATTTATCCCTGTGCTTATCAACGGAATCCCAACCCGGCCACAGTTCGAGACGGCATCAGGTATAACGATAATTTCCAGGAAATATTGGAAGTAATAAAGAAGCCAAATATGGTTGAATCCAACAAAGTCCTCCACAACGCAGTCGGGGGAGTGCTGAACCTGGTCGGAGAAATAAATTGCAAAACTGCATTCATCGGAGTGGAACAGGCTGGAACCTGCTATTTGTCTGACCGACCAAGATTAAACCTCCTTGGACTTGACTGCATGGAATAGTCACAACTGCTTGATCTTCCAGTCAGTCAAATTTGCAGTACAGTCCAAAACGACCCGGTCCATGCAGCAATGTCGCTAGAAGACATGACAAAAAAGCTAAAGCAGTAGTTTGCCGCGTTGGTTGAAGATGGTCTCGGCCATTGCACAAAGTGCAAATCCTCATTGTGCCTTCGCGAAGGATCCAAGGCAGTCTTCAGAGCAAAAAGACCGGTACCATATGCAGCCATGGCAGCAGGGGCTCAGGAGGTCGATCGACTGGAACGACCCGGTGTCATCACACCAGTGAACTACCCTTCATGGGCTGCGCCGATCGTTGCTGTGAGAAAGCCGAGCGGTAAAGTGCGTGTCCGCGCCGATTTTTCGACTGGCCTGAAAGCCGCATTGGACGACCTTCAGTACACCCTTCCGGTACCAGCGGAGATATTTATCAAGCTTATTGGTGGGAAGTGTTCCCCAAACTCCACTTGTCCGATGCCTACCTCCAAGTCAAGTTTGATGAAAGCTCGAGAGAATTGCTGACCATCAACACTTATCGTGGCTTGTACCAGTACTACCGCCTTCCGTTTGGAGTGAAAACTGCATCAGCCATCTCCTAACAGCTGATGGACACTATGCTCGCGGGAGTTACTGGAGCCGTGGCGTCCATGGATAACATCGTTTTAATGGGTCGGACGGCAGAAGCACATTTTAGCGAATCGCTGAAGTGCTTGTGTCCATCCGGTTGTATGGTTTCCGGATCCGTGAAGACAAGTGTAACATTTTTACACCAACCATCAAGTTTCTGGACTTCATTTTCCCAAAAGCCGGTCGTCGCCCTGATCCAGCACATATCCGAGCTATTCGAAAGACGCCCTCACCTGCGGACTTGCAATCACTGCGTTTTTTCTATGGCCTAATCAGTCATTACAGCGCTTTTCTGCGCCAACCGCAACGCCTGCGTGCCCCGCTGAATAAGGTGCTGAGCAAAGGCCAAACCAGGAATTGGACGCCAGAATGCCAGTCTGCGTTCGAGCAGGTCAAGTCATTGCTGGCTTCAGACCAACTCCTGAATCACGTTACTCTTTCTCGGGAAGCTGTCCTTGCCACAGACGCGTCGAGGCTAGGGATCAATACCGTAGTTTCCCATACGTGCCCAGATGGATCTCAGAAGGCGTTCGCACATGCTGTCAGGATGCTGAGCAAAGCCGAAAGAGACTAGTCAGATCGAGTAGGCACCGGCCATAGTGTTTCCTGTGAAGAACTGTCACAAAATGCATTATGATCGCCACTTCAAACTCTTGACGGAGCATAAGCCACTGCCGGCCACTTTTTGGCTCGAAGAAGTGAATTCCTGCCTATCACCCAATCGACTCCAACGATAAACGCGCAACTTGTTAAGCTATGATTTTGAAAACCATTAGCAAACAACGGTTTCTATGGGTCAAACAGATGCATTTTCACGCCTTATAAATTCCTAGCAGCAAGAGCAGGAGAACATCAACATAGCCTCAGTTAAGATCGAACCTGATTTCCAATTTTTGTGAGCGAGACAGTAGGTGGTCTGCCAGCTACGGCCGATGCTGTGCGGGCCGAAACGCTTCGAGACCCAATCCTGAAGAACATGCCACACTTCCACAGAATCATCTGGCGACGTTCGTGTTCTTCTGCCGGAATGCAGCAGTTCTGTCAGCGAAGACGTTCGCTCTCCATTGTGAACAGTTGCGCCATGTCCTGAGCGAGAGTAGTCATCCCGTAGGCGTTGCAAGAAAGCGTGCTGCAGTAGTGCCATGCAGGATTTCCAGGGCTCGGCCTGTTCCTCACTTTCTCTTTTCTCTGAGGTCGTGAACATCTGAGAGATCCGGGATTGTACTGAGGAACTGCCTCCATCTGGGATGGGGGGAAATAACCAACCAGGACTTACCCGGACCATCCGCACCCAACAACTCAACCACCGAGGTCCAGTGAGGTTGGCTGCACACGAATTCTTCGCTCCCCGGCAAATATACCTAATCAGAGAAAGTGAGACCCCATACTCTGGAAATTCTACTTATCTGCAAAACCATACTTTCTCCTCGACTGACCCCAAAGTCCATGTGCAATTTGGCTAGCCATCAGAGGAATCACTCGACTGCGAATAACTAAAGGAACTAATGCTTTATAACAAGCTTTGCCAGTTGCGCATGACCGATCATAGCAATCGACAACAGTGTTCCAGGACGTGGTGGGTTTTCGCCTGACAAGCCTTCTCCCTATAAAAAGCCACACAAGTCCGATTATCAACACTGTGACGTGGCGGATGTGACTCGCCACTGAACAAAGTCCCTGCCCACTGTTACACACTGGAATATCGACTAGTCATCTTTCCATGTTCTACTGACGAGTACAACAGAGGTACTCTTTCTTCACATACTGTCCCCACTCTAACTACTGTACGATTTTTATTTACTCTACGCACACTCGAAACCATTTTACTGGCACTCCATTGTTGACTTTGCTCCTCAGTAGTGCTTCGAATTTTCTGCTAATTGTACAAGTTTGGCCAAAGCCAATTACGTGCGTTGTAACGTATCGCTTGTGCCACATAAGTGCTTGTAACTTTCGATCATACCTGAGTTGGTATGGCTCGATGAATTCAATAAGAAAATATGTATTTATTTGTTTATTTAACCGAATAAAAGCGCTTGCCCTAAGTTGTGTGTATTGGCCGTTCATGGACAGACAGCTGGAGCAGCTAGCTAGGAGTTGTGGCAACTGCGCTGCCGCTTCAAGGGTACCGCCAATGACTGAACTGCACTCTTGGCCTAAATCAAATAAATATTGGAGCCGTGTTCATGTCGAACTTGCAGCCCAATCAATAGCCAGAACTTTCTCATAGTGGTCGAGGCTTACAGCAAGTGGCCTGAAGTGTCTCTCATGAGAAGCAAGAAAGCCAGCGCAACGGTCTCGAGGTTGCGACAAATCTTCAGCAGGTTCCGCTGCCCTAAAATATTAGTGACGGACAATGGAGTACAATTTACTTCGGCCACATCCACGGAATTCTGCTAACGCTGCGCCACGAACACGTGCGGTCTCCACCATTCCACCCACGATCGAATGGGCAAGCGGAGAGGTTTGTGGATGCATTCAAACGCGCACTCCTGAACTCAAGGAGGGCGGGAGACATAGATGAGGTGCTCGACTGCTTACTCTTTCTGTACCGATCTACACGAAATCCACCAACGCCTGGTTTAATATCACCAGCATAGGCCATGATGAAGCGAAAAGGTCGCACGCCATTTGATGCAGTTCGGCCGTCTTCCGAGTCCACAGCTCGTGAAAGGAACGTCAAGATGGAAGGTGACTTTGATCGGCGGTATGGTTCCAAGCGACGTTGGTTTTAACCCGGTCAGCAAGTACTTGTACGTGGTTATCGGTATAGACACGCAAACTGGACGTCAGGCATGATCCATGGCAAGCACGGAAGCGGCATTTACGACGTGCTGGTTGGAACGCAGGTATGGGTACGCCATGCAAAACAACTGCGACCAGTAATGTGTCAGCCAAAAGCACCTACATCCGCCGAGCTTCCATTTGACCTGTTGACAGACGGCTTTAACTTGCCTAAAGAGCCAGTATAAGCATTCAGTCTTCAGACGAATGACACCAGACCGCAGAACACGCTAAACGAATCCAGAACATTGCAGCCAAGGCGATGGACTGATAAGATTATAACCTCATCCAGGAGGCTTTAGGTCAATCCCAGGCTAGCATTATACAC